GGCCGTTCTTGGGACCAGAAGAGTTTTCCCCACACTGAGGGAAAGCTGCTGAAGGAAAATTCCCCCAGATCTCCCTGAATTGCCAGGAGCTGCTCTGTGCTTCCTGATCCTTCTCCCTTTTGCTGGGATGGTTTGGGGCAGGATGTGGCAGGGAACAGGGGCTGATGTTCCCAAAAGGAACCGGGGGAAGCAGGAAGAAACGGGAGCTAAATCCATGCGGTGACTTCAGCTGTTCCTATTGCGATCCTCAATCCACGGGGACAATCCCTGCGCCCCCGGCTCCCCCCCGCTGTCCCAAACCCACGGAAAGAGCCGGACCAGCCTCTCCTGGCCAGGGAAGAGCAGCTCTATTCCTGGGATCATCCCCTGTAATTATCCCAGCCTTTCCTGCCCTCCCCAGCCCGGCCCACGCGGCCCCGAAACCACCAGAGGTGCAGGAGAAAAACGGGAGGCAGGAGAGGGAAAAGAAAACATCCCCAGGAAACCACGGATCCCAAAGGCTCCTGCGGCTTTCCTGCAGGACGGCTCAGCCCCCGGAGCTGCCAGACGGGAGCTGACCCTCCCTGCAGGGAGCTGGAATGTTCCTGGGGATGCTGGAATGCTTTGGGATCACAGCTCCCGCAATGCTTTGGGATGCAGGGATCCTAATTCCCTGCGCCGGGCAGGACGCCTTCCACCAGCCCAGGGTGCCCCAAGCCCCATCCTTGGACACTTCCAAGGATGGAGCACCCACATTTTCTCTGGAAAACCCATTCCAGCCCCTGATCACCGCCTGCTGTTCCCAGTTCTCCCAGTTTGGGCCCACCTGGAGCGTGCTGAGCTGAGCTGAGCTGGGAGCAGGAGGCTCCTCCGCCTCTGGAGGCCGAGCCCGAGCCCGGAGCAGCTGGAAGGAGCAGATCCCAGCAAAACGGGGATTTGGGGCAAATCCAGCGAGTTCCCGGTGAGCCAAACTCGCCGGGAAGCCCCGGGGAAGTAGCAGTGAGGAAAAACCTTCCCGAGGTTCCAGCAGGGCTGGGAAGGGCAGCAGAGGGTGCTGCTTCCCCGGGCAAAGGCAGCAGACTCCCGGGAGCTCGGGGTGGCTTTTGCTGGGAATTCATCCCTGATTTCTGGGCAAAAAGAGAGGGATATTGGGGACATGGGAAGGGCAAGGCGAGAGGAACAACTGCCGAGCTGTGCTGGGGCGTTTGAACCATTCCCAGCTCTGCAGGGTGTTGGTGGGGAATCAATCATCAGGGAATCATCAGGGAATCATCAGGAATCATCAGGAATCATCAGGAATCTGGGAATCCCAGCCTGGACTGGGCTGGGAGGAGCCCAGAGCCCCTCCAGTGCCCCCTCCCCTGTCCTGGGGTGATCCCTGCCCTTCCCTGCCAGCCCAGGACATTCCCTGGGCTGTGTCCTCCTCGTTCCCCTTCCCGAGGGAGCCCCGAAATTCCCACCCTGCTCCAGCTCCTGCTGCCAGCTGGGACAGGGAATTCGGGAATTCCTCCTCATTCCATCCTGGATGGGGATGGGGTTTGTGTGGATAACGCACCGTGGCTGGGGTTTATCCCCACTCAGGGGCTCCTTTTTCCCTTCTTTTTATGTCTCCTGCTCTGCCAGGGAGGAGATTCCCAAACAGAACCAGGACAGGTGATCCCGAGCGGGATGATCCCGAAACCCCGGATCCCAAAAACCTTCCCAAGGTTCTGAGATCATCGGGAATGGTTTCTCTGCAAGGAACCCTGGCATTGTTTGGGCAGAGCAGGGCCTGGCTGGGACCCTGGGGTTCGCCAGGGGAGCTCTCCCTGCGGATCCGGCTGGATCAGGAAGTTTTCCTGGTGATTCACCGGGAGCTGCTGCTCCCCGTGAGTCACTGCTGAGGGGGAGGGACCCACGGAACCCATGGATGAGGGATGGATCCATGGATGGAGGGATGGAGGGATGGATCCATGGATGGAGGGATGGAGGGATGGAGGGATGGATCCATGGATGGAGGGATGGATCCATGGATGGAGGGATGGATCCATGGATGGAGGGATGGATCCATGGATGGAGGGATGGATCCATGGATGAGGGATGGATCCATGGATGAATTCTCATCCCAAACTGGTAACAGAAATCGCTGCTGTGGCCCCTGGGCTCCATCCCAGCAGGAGAAGAAAGGAATGGGAATTTGCAGAAAAAGGGCCTCAGGATGAGATTTTTCCATGAGAAAAGCACATCCCAGGACAGGCCAGGACACTCCAGGACAGGCCAGGGCTGTTTGGCTGCCCAGGGCTCTCACAGGGTCTCTCCTTTTCCTGACATCCCCAGGAATTCCCCGCAGCCACTCCAGGGATTTTGGGGCTCGGGGCATGGAGGATCTTTCCCGAAATGTTCCTCCCTGCCCGTTCCTGAGAAGCAGCACCCGGAGCTGCCGCTGGCCCGGCCGGGCTCCAGCCCATCCCTCTGTAATTACGGGATATTTTTATTTTTGGCGTCCCTTCCTCTCCCTGTTCCGGGCCCGCAGCCCCCGCAGGATGAGCCGGGGAAGGTGCCGGGCTCGGGAGGCCTCGGGAAGCGGCAAATCCCGGCTCCCAAAGGGCCAGGAGCAGCGGGAGCCGCCGGGCGGGGACCGCAGCCACCCCCGTGCTCCCAGTGTGGAGCTGGGCTGGGCAATCCGGGGGCTTTGGGGGAGCGGGGGGTGCTGCGCACCTCGTTCTGTCCCTCTGGGGGCAAATTCCCAGCTGGTTGTCCCCAAAAAACTGGATTTGATGCTGGAGGTGCTGCTGGGGGCTGTCCCTGTTCCCAGAGCTGCCCCGGGACTAGGATTTCTCCTGGTTTAAAGCTTTTCTTCCCTGAAATCCTATTTTTAAGCCCTTTTAAATTTCATTTTTGTATTCACCAAATTGAAGTTTTTCTGTTGAACAAAATTTGGGATTTGCCGTCACCTGCGGGAGCTGCCTTGGGGACAGCAGCCGTTCCCTCGGGAGCGGGTTTGGAACCTTGGATCCGGGGCTGGGACAGCAGCACGGAGGCTCCTGGCTCTGGGATGTGGAGCTGCCTTCGCGTTCCCGCCGGGAATGCTCGGGCTGAGCCAGCCCCGCGCTGCCAGGCTGGATCCAAAGAGCCCCGGGAGCCGCCCTGGAGCAGCCCCGAGCCTCGGCCCCATCCCTGGGCTGATCCCATCGCATCCCACAGATCCCAGCCCATTATCCCATCCCGTTATCCCATCCCATTATCCCACCCCATTATCCCATCCCACGGATCCCACCCCGTTATCCCATCCCATCCCATCCCATCCCATCCCATCCCATCCCATCCCATCCCATCCCATTATCCCTTCCCATGGATCCCATCCCATTATCCCATCCCATTATCCCATCCCATCCCACAGATCCCACCCCATTATCCCACCCCATGGATCCCACACCATTATCTCATCCCATTATCCCATCCCATCCCACGGATCCCATCCCATTATCCCACCCCATTATCCCATCCCCTTAACCCTTCCCATGGATCCCATCCCACAGATCCCACCCCATTATCCCATCCCATGGATCCCACCCTGTTATCCCACCCCGTTATCCCATCCCATCATCCCATCCCACCCGTCTCTCCCATCCCATTATCCCACCCCATTATCCCACCTCATTATCCCATCCCATCCGTCTCTCCCATCCCGCTGTTGGCTCCAGGAGCCGCCCTAGAGCAGCCTCAAGCCTTGGCTTCATCCCTGGGCTGATCCCATCCCATCCCATGGATCCCACCCCGTTATCCCATCCCGTTATCCCATCCCATCCCATTATCCCACCCCATTATCCCATCCCATTATCCCACCCCATTATCCCACCCCATTATCCCATCCCATCCGTCTCTCCCATCCCGCTGTTGGCTCCGGGAGCCGCCTCTG